CTTTGCGGCGGAGCTACGTGGGGCGGGGGCGCCTGATGTGAGGCGAGGGGGCTCCGGTTCCGGGAAGGGCAGCGGGGCAGCCGGGCAGTATTGAATGGGCGGCCCTTGAATTGACGCGCAGCTGGCGGCGCTTTGCAGAATCGGGCTTCCCTTTAGTCTCGCGCCCTCCCTCCTGGCGGCCAGTAGAAATATTGGCCGGTGAGGGACATCGGTTTATTTTCCACATGTCCGAAGCTCTGGGGCTGGCAGCAGCCAAAGCTGGCTGCGTGATCTCCGTGTCCCACGCGCAGGTTGCCAGCGGACCCTGGAGCGGCAGCGGCGTCCTCTTGAGCCGAGACCCGGGCGTTGTTCTCTGCCATGGGATCATCTTTTCCCCTTTCCTCCTGGAGTCGGAGCGCCCAGACTGGCCTGGGAGCGAAGTGCTGCTGGCCGATCGCTTCTGCCCAGGCCTCCAGATCCGGGTGCTTAGGACCCGTGGGTGCGGCAGCAGAGCTAACCGTGGAGACGTGGGGGGGGATAACGCAGCGCTGAGGCTCAACCCACTTTCAGATCGGCACCCGTCCCCCCACGGCTCGAGAGACTGCGACGCCGAGCTCCTGATGGTGGTCCCCTGTCCGCAGTTCCAGGAGGCCTTCTCCAAGATCTTCAGTGCTTCAGATCAATGGCACTTTGGAGGAAATGACTTGGAGCAGGAAGCCAACCCTTTTGAGCACGACTTGCGTTTCCTGCATTGGTTTGCTCTGCTGAGAATCCTGGATCCTGACTGCTGTGGGACAAGTTGGGTGAACTGTATTCCGGCCAGATCCCTCAGGAAGGGTGATACTGTCTTTACGTGTGGCTCTCCTTTCGGGTCATTTTGCCCAGACATTTTCATGAATACCCTCAGTAAAGGGATAGTCAGCAACATGGCAGGAGCAGGCAATGCCCTCATCTTGACTGATGCTCGTTGCTTACCTGGCACTGAAGGAGGAGGTGTCTTTGCCATGTCAGGAATCGGTCCTCATCTAGTTGGAATAATCGTAGCTCCACTTTGCTGGAAATCCACTGAATGGGTTGGCTTGACTCTGGTTTGTGCCATTGACTCCATTCTGGAGAGCGCTGGGAAAGTCCTTTCTGGGCCTCGTGGTTTTCTGAAACCTTGGCTGCTCCCCATGGAACTTGTGACTAGATCACATAGTTTGATGGTAGTCAGAAATGGGCTGGACCGGCGACTATTGGATGCTGTGGTTCTGGTGGAATGTGGACCAACCTGGGGGTCTGGGGTGATGATGAATTCGAGGTTGTTGTTAACCTGTCGGCATGTGGTCAATGGAGCATCAAATGTCTGTATAAGGTTTCTAACCAGTCCTAAAAAGTGAGTATGAATGCTAGTATTTATTTATGTATTTCTTTTTACAGTTTTTAAAGCCTGCCAACTCTAAAGACTCTGCATGGGTTCTAACAAGCTGAAATTATAAACACAAGAGTAGAATAATAAATCAAAATGATAAAAACAATGATGGTAATAAATCAACCCTCTCCATAGATGGACACCAATAAAATTTTGCTAGGTTTGAAGGACCAATGCAATAAAGCTTCAAAGAGTTTCTAAAAATGAGGAGGAAGGGAGCTTTATGGACCTCTATAGGTAAGAAATTCCAAAGTGTAGGACTTTCCACAGAGAATATCATTACCTTGCCACTTCAGAGGGAGGGGGGACTCTTCACAGGCCTTCCTAAGATGTTCTTACCAGCTGGACAAATTTGACTTTGGCAGGGCAGTGCCTGTTGTAACCCATTGCTGTGCCATGTGTATAATTAACAGCCTGAATCAATCCACTGCAGGATGAAAGCTCCTCATTGAAGGTTATGGACCATTATCTACCATGCTGATGGAGCCCATGATGATAGATAGATTTTTCAACTTCCCAGTCTAGGGCTGAGGGAGAGTGATTGGCCCAAAATCACCCAGCTGGCTTCTTTGCTTAAGGGAGGGCTAGAATCTGATCTCCCTGCTCCTAGTCCAACAGTTTAACCACTGCACTGCACTGGCTCTGGATGGATGAAGAGGTACAGAATTCAAGTTACATTTATTCTATTTCTACTAGTTTGTTTGCCTGCAAAGCCTGGAACTGTGTTGTTCTTCTATCAGTCAAATTAGAGTATTTTGGATTGTTGCCAAATATGAACTCCTGGAGCAGCACCAACTTGTGTGGAATTACAGCTGGCTTTGGATTCCACCGTATCTTAAGGGAGTCAGGCTGGATGAGGCTGTTTTAGAAGAACTGATGACTTGTGTGATTTTGGATAATGTACTGCAGTTTCCATTGTAGGCATTGCAATTGTAAATTCGGAGAGAGCCACCTGTAGGCTGCAAAGAAAACAGACAAGTGAAAGTGAAAACCCATTCCAGGCTAATATTCTTGGTAACAGACTAGTTACATTTGAATTTAAGCTATGGGTTGTTTCCTCTTTAATGGAGAAATAAATTGCAGTGCCCTTTAACCAACGTGTATAACAGTTAAATCAGTGCCATGTTGGGAGATAGGTGATAGTAAGAACAACAACGTAAATCCTAATAACTAATTGTGATGTAATGGGGATCATTGAGAAAAAAAGCACAGATTTCATTCTCTCTAGGATGGATAAATGTTTATGCAACGTTGGGCTTGGAAGACATTTTCACTCATCCCCATCACTCCTTCCATTGCTCCCCCCAAATGATCCCTAAAGCAGAGCCAGTTAATGGCTTGGGGGAAGAAAGGAAAAATTTTCAGCGTCAGCCCTCTGTTGCTGAGGGCTCTTAAGGCCTTGCTCTCTTGTTTGTCTTCATATTATCTCCTTCTCTGGAAATTTGTTAGAGCAGTGGAGAAATTACCGCAACCCGGAAAAGCCCATTAAGAGTAAGTCCTGCAAGATCCTCATCCTTTGCTTTTTGATGCTTGTTCCCTTGGGTCTCTTCCATGCAAGCTGAATGTGTTCATCTGAGCAGCACAGGTGACGTTTGGGTGAGTGCACGTGTGGCAGTCTCACTCTCAGACTGAGGGGGGCTCAGCAGCTTTTCCCAGGCAACATTGACAAGGCTGGCTGTAGCCTGGTTCAGTTGAGAAAGGAGACTGGTCCCAGGCCTAGAGATGAAGAAAAATGAAATGGATTTGAATCCTGGCTCTGGGGGCTTCAACCTCCCTCAGATTTGCCCATGACCTCCCAGGAAGACACGACCCATAGAACTCCCCGATAGAAAGTATCTGGCACATGTGCAATATTTTTCAATAGGTTTGATTTACTGCAGCTGCAGTTCTGTGTGAAACTTCCTGATGGATTTTATTTGTTGCTTCCTCATCTTGACCAGCTGCATAGTGCCAAATTATGTTTTGCTTTCAGTCTCTCTCTCAATATTGATTTTTCTTTGCTCCTAGGGACTCTGTAGTGAAAGGAAAAGTAGTGTTTGCAACAAGGGACTCTTCTCCCTATGATATTGCACTGGTGGAGTTGGAAGAAAGTTTATCCGCATTTCCGGAGCCTGTTCTAGCATCAGCATTTCATCCAGGTGAGAGCAGAGTACTGCATCCGAGCTTGGCGCCTCTTCTTTTGCTGTTAGCCCATGTAGGGCTCTAAAGAAGAGATGTCCATCACTTAACATTTGGACTATTGAACAATTTTAATTTTGAGGTTGACATTGATAAACAATATATCAAACATTTAATGGGAAAGCGTGAAGCTTTACATATTGAAACCATCTTTGTAGAGACAGGCAAATGTATTTTAAATTTGACCTGAAATTAAGTTCCAAACAACTCCTTTGAGTGTGAAGCTGTTGTTTCCAGAGTGAATCCATTGCTTTTCCCTTGGAACAGGCTATTTTAATCATTTTGGAAGTATCTGGGACTTGCAGCAGAATTATTTTGAGCTTGAAATATTTCTAACGCATTCAAAAGAGCTCACTTAGAATATGAAATAAGTGTTTTGCACACACAATTATTTCATACTCAAAGTCCATGCTTTAAGTGGTTCACATTTGCAATGTTTTGCACAGCATAACCATTTAGGGAGATCTGCATGAACAGGTGAAAGGGCCGGATTCTGATGTAGGAATTCAGTGTGTCCAATCCTCATATATACTCCATCTAAGTAGCTGTGTGGACCCAATGTTGCTCTTCTGGAATCCTTAAGAATTATAGATGAATTCCAGGTAAATGAGGACTTGGAATGTGTGAACAAAAATGCCAGCTCATATTTAATGCTATGTATTTGAGCCCAGTGTGATAGAGTTTTGAAACTTGCAGGCTTTCTAGAGTTGACCTGACCAGTGTTATCTGGGCTTCTGAGCCAAACAGGGTCAGGCCTACTTCATACTTGGATGGAAGACCACCAGGAAATACCAGAACCAACAGCTGTACTGAGAAGTCAGAAAACATCCTGAAATAAGGCAGCAAACTGCTTTTGCATTTCCACCATGAAAAATATGCAGAGGTGCCCATAAAATGCCCAGCTCAGCTTGAGAGACTTGCTCATTCTAGGCTATACGTGGGAGAAAATAGTCACTTTTTAAAATAGAAATGCTGCCTTTTTATGAGAAGTTCCCAACATGAAGCAAAGAAAATTACTAGAAAGAAGATTAAATTAGGGGACAGAGAACCAGCATGATATGGTAGTTACAGCATGAGCCTGGGACTGTACGCACCGAGGCTGAAATCATGATTAGTTATGAATCTGACTGGGTGACCAGACAACTTATCATTTTTTTATTCCAGCATACTTGTGTGAGAAGATCAGGGAGGTAGGAGAATCATACTTTCCACCTTGAGCTACTTATAAATGACAACAACCAACTTTTAGTCCCAAACCAGCTTCTTATTTGCAAGGATACTTTTTTAAAACTATTGGGGTATAGTATATTTTATCTTCCTTTCTCCTTAATGAATTTTTGAACTAATATACAAAAAAAATGACAAAGGATGAAGTATATTTTAAACTCCAAAACCTGAACTTAGTCAAACGCTAGTGAAATGACAGCAGTTCATGGCACAGTCTGTTCTTCGCCTAACAAAACTGGGGAATTCCCGAATCCCTGAAATCAGGGCTAGAACACAGCAGCTTCAAATAGTTTTGGTCCAAGGGAGAGGCTATAGGTTACACTGCAGCCATCAGCAACCTCCAGTAAAGCTTTAACTGTCCTTGGGGAGCGTTTCTTTGAATTAGAGAAGAAAAGTGGCTGGCAAGACCGAGTCATCTATTCTTTCCTGTTTCGGCTTGCAAAGGACCATCTCTTGAGATGTCTTTGAAATAAAGACATGAAATAGAGACAGTATGAGGAACTATGGCTCTCTGAGGGTTGCAATTTCCATTACACAAAGGTGACTTAAGTGAGAATGATTTCTATTCTGTCCTTCATTGTTGGCCGAATTTGTTTCTGACTTCTGGTTTGCTTCATGTGGGCCTGCTGTGAAATTTTGCTCCATTTTTCACCTCCCCCCTGGGAATACTGTCTCAGAATTGCTCTTCCAAGGTAGGATTCCTGCCTCTTTTTACAAGGGAACCTGGGAATTTCAGAATCCCCCTTGCTCTGTGCCTTCCTCCACAATGAAAAGGTTCTTGATGATTATTGTCTGGTTTGTGTGTCCTTCAATCAGGAGAAGATGTGAGTATTGTGGGCTTTGGTGTCTTCGGTCAGGCCTGTGGACCGTCTGTTACGTCGGGAATCCTGTCAGCAGTGATCACTGTGGAAGACAAGCCAGTGATGCTGCAGGCAACCAGCGCGGTTCACAGTGGCTCAAGTGGAGGGGCCCTCTTTGCAACCCACAGTGGGAAACTTCTAGGTAAGATGGATAAATAAATGGATAGTTTTGCAATCAACCAAATTCTCAACAGTTAACACAAAATAGAAACATCCAAAACAGCACTATAAAGAAAAATCCATGGTGTATAGTGATTACATTTTCTTTGTCCCATGATCTCACTGTGCAAATGTATTAATAATCCTGAGGATACAGATAGTCCCCTACTTACGAACAGGTTACGTTCTAAGAGGCTGTTCGTAAGTCCATTTTGTTCGTAGGTCCAACCAAGTAAAAAGTAAAAAAAGGAGGAGGAGGCAGGAGGCAGGGCAGTGGTGTGGGCAGAGGAGCCCTGTCTTCTGCTGCCAATGCATTGCCAGGAGAGGCAGTGGTAGCAGAGGAGAGGGGAGCAAAGGATGAGCCAGTGGGGCACGGCATGCTCTGTTGCCAGGCGAGGCAGGAGATCTCCACCCCTCTCCCCTGTCCTCTGCCATTGGCCGCTCTCGTGCCTCACCCAGCAACAGAGTGCACTGCATAAACTCACCCTTTCTGGGAACTCCGACTCCAGTGCAAACCTCCAATGCAAACGGAAGGTGGGAGAAGGTGGGAAAGGGTTAGTCTGCAGCCACTGCAAACTAACCGTTTCCCACCTTCTGACTTCCGGTTCCAACTTCTGGGTCCATCTTGTTCGTATCAGTGAAAGTTCGCAACACAAAAGTTCGCAAGTAGGGGACTGTCTGTATCAGCTTAAAGAAAACAAGTTTCTAGCCTTCAGTTCAAGAAAGAAGAGATTGTTGTTCCTTACATGTCACTGAACTATGATTCTCAGAAGACCCAACCAGCACTGCCAATAATGGCATATGTGGGGAGTTGTAGAAGAAGAAACTTTATTTGCTCAATGACCAGCATATATTACAATACAATAAAACAGGGAAAGTTATATGACTAAGCCTATAGTCCTACAAAAGCCTATTAATCTGTAAAAATGAACAGAACTCATGATCCATTAAAACTAAACTACAAGACTAAAGCTATAAAATCTATACATCTATAATAACACAAACAGTCAATTATTCTAGTATATTGGACTCATGTTTATAGTATAACAGAATAAAATGCAATGTATAATTTGTAAAATCTGCTTGAATGGTATTTAATAAACACAAATGCAAACCACAGACTTATACTCTCACAGTTAGTCAAGCAATTATCTCCTTTCAAAATCTACAGGCAATATAGCAGTATTTAGCAACATTCATATCATTTTTATTGGACAAAAAATAGCAAGAGATAAAATGAATCAGTATGACCTGGGTGATTTAGTAATACGTGTTAAATAACGTGTGAATACCTTGATACGAGGGGCAGTACCAAAAAAAAAAAAATGATTTCAACCTGACCAAATCTGCATGGAGAAAGCCATTCGTTATACAGTAACAGATTTTCTTATAGTTCACTTCCAAAACAGCACTAGGTAGGATGTTGAATCATGCTAACCTCATAGCCTGTCTATAGCTGTGTATTTCGATTTGTCCCAAATATCTGGCTGGGCTGTGCGGAGCTGAGGCAGCATCTGATAAACCATAGATTTCCATCCCATCTTAGCATGTGAAAGACTGGTTTAAGAGCGTGGAAGTGATATTTGTTATGGGAGTTGTCAGCACTGAACTGACCTGGAAAAACTAAGTAGGATCAAGGATGCTTAATATTTGGAAGGGAGACTGGTAAGGAAATTTTAGGATGATATTCCAAATGGAGGAGTTGAAATAATACTATGGTAAATCACTTCTGTACTGTTGTCAAGAAGACAACATTGATGCATATATGTAGACACTAGGAATTAAGCTAAACTTGAGGGAGAGTTAATCTGTACCTTTAGCAGTATTTGGCCAAATCTTGGATGTAGGTGAGCAGCTTTTCCATATATTAGAGATGTGTTTTAACTACCTTTTAGGTACTTTAGACCTAAAGACTTTAGAAGCTAGATAATAATCCTGAACAGTTTAAAAGAATTAGGAATGGGTTTTGAGAAAAAAAGAAATTTTAGACTGCCACATCAATTACAGGTAGTCCTCATTTAGTGACCACAATTGATTCCAGTGACTTATCATTAAGTGAAGCTGTTGCTAAGTGAAAATCACATGACCATGACTGTGCTTATGATTTTACTTCAGCTTTCCTTAGAAGGCAAACAAAAGCCTTCTGTGTGAAACTAATTAGGGTCTTGTCAATTTCAGGCAGCAGTGCCAGCCTGCTGGAGGGTTCAACTAATTAAGGTCAGGGAGCTGAGCTTGTTAACTTGCAGTTAACAGTTTTTTGGGAAGTCTACACTGTGAGAAAAGCAGCTCAGGAAGAGATAGCTTGTTTAAGAAATCTCTCTGCGAGCGGGGGGAAGAAAAGAATGGGTCATGCATAGGACAACATCATACTGTACTAACTGACTGTAATGGCGAATGGGTGACTGAGAGAGAGACGCTCTGAAGGTCGTAAATGTATTGGTACATTTGTACCAATTTGTATTGGTCACAAAGTTGCTTTTTCATCACTGTCATAATTGTAAATGGTCACTGTCCCAGGCAGTCGCTAAATGAGAACTACCTGTATACCATTTTATTTATTTGTTTCAGGCACTTCTGTCTTAGTTTTCCATACCCATGTTCCTGGCAGCTAGTACTGTTAATCAACCACAGTAAAACATTAATCAAGAACAGAAATAGAAGATACCTTATTTTAAACTTATACCCAGGAGATGTAAAATCAGCTGGACTATTGAATGTTACTCAAGAAAGAGGATCTCTGTGGGACAATGCTTATGGATTGGAGAGGGCCTTTCTTTTCTCAAAGCATAAGATAGCCACAAGTGCCAAGTTCAAGCTAGACCTTTTGAGCAAGAGTGACATAGCACATAATTTAGCTGAGCTAAAACTGAATCACAGTTAGTTATCTTCATTGTAGGAGGAAAGCCACGTTAATCTATTGTGGCAAAACATCAGAAAGAGTCTAGTGGCACTTATTCCAGAACAGGTGCTACCAGACTCCAGTTGACTGTCCTGTAACTGTGTTGACCATGTGGCAGCTTTGTGATAAGACAGGAGTCTGGGTATTTTCTTTTCATGTAAACATAATACTGATCATGGAGGAAAGTTATCAAGTGTAAACTCTTGATGACCATTTCTTGTGAATCAGATGAATGATAATACAAAACAGAGTTGTCCGTAGGGGGGATTTAAAAAGTCAAGATGGCAGCTGTGAACATTTGATTGAGGCCCTGCACCTTATTTTATGTGCATGTGACATTCTCTACATACGCCCCTAGCACATAAGATTTGTCACTTCAGTTCTTCCAAATTATGCTGTCCTTTGAATGATGCATTTTAACAGTGCAGATCTTCCTGTCCTTGATCTATTTTCCTTTCATGTTGCATTTTTGCCACTGTGTGTGTATGTTGGGATACTGAATTACATTCTTTTCTTCCTCTGTGGTCCATTCATAGGGATTGTTGCCAGCAACACAAGGGATAACAGCGTTGGAGTGACATACCCCCACCTAAACTTCAGCATCCCCATTACAGTCCTGCAATCAGCCATCTTGGAATATATACACAACAGAAGCCTGCATGGCTTTCAGGAACTAGACAGGGTAGGACAAAGAATTCAGGTTATCTGGAGGCTCCAAAGAGAATCTATGGAGGTTCCACTGAGCAAGCTATGAGGATTTTCACCGAATGAAGAAGAGTAGAAGAATATTGTCTTCATATGTCCTGAGTGCACTGTGCTGGGCTAAAGTGCTTGTACTGCTGGGTAATCAACTAAATTTATGGAATTGTTTCGTATATTTGAGTAGCTTTCTTGGCTAGGCATTTAGTTTGATTTCAGCAACACCCACTTAGACTTCTTGCCCTAATTTTCCATTATATCCCTGCCAATGTCTGTCTTGTTCAAGCAACCTGCTTATCCCCTTATGTACTACATTTCTCCATTGCTCCTTATGCCTGGAATTCTTTGTCAGAATATCTTCCTTCAAATCCTTTGTGAAAACTCGCTTTTTCCAGAGAACTCCCTGGAACCCCATAATTTTCTTTCATCCCATTCCTAGAAAACACCTGTCATTGAAATTAAAGATACATAGACTGTGCCTTTCCCTTTTCTTCCCATTGTTTTCCTCAATAGTTGAAATGTAGGTTAACTCTTAGAAGAACAGATCTTTCCTCTTCTTTGTTATGGTGCTATATAAATAAACAATAACAGAGAGTGGTTTGTCTTTTGTACTGAATGGTACATAGTATCTTTCTCTGGCCACCAGATATTTAAGTAACCACTATTTTAAATACTCTCTTTTGCTTTGTTTGTTGAGCTTTTTTTTAAAAAATAAAAATCATCTTCAGAGGTTTACAAAACAGGCCACTTGTCCATAAAATGGAGTTGCACATTCGTTTCATACAACACGCAGCATCTTGGTTTGTTTCTGTCATGATGTACAAACCAGGCTCCTGTGGCTTGTTCAACAGATTTTGAGCTTAGAATTCCTGCATTAGAAATTCAGCTTCAGACTCTGATTTTCTGTTTAATAATTTACTGATGCTGTCTTTCTCCTTGCTCCCCTTATTAACATAATCTTTTAACTGTGGATGAACACTGCAGTTTTAGAAATCTTGGCTTTTCTTAATACTGGCTTTCTTTCCTCTGCCGCATTTACAATTTAGCAATACCCAGCTAGGCATGGGTTCTGCATCAAATCTGACTTCTACCCATTAGCTGAAGCAGAATAACCAAAGTAATTGTTTGTCACAATTATGAAAAATAAATGTAAGTATGGGGAACTGCTTGTCTTGAAGAATTTATGCAAATAGTGTATTCTCATTTATCTTGGTGTTTGGATGCCAGTTTGGTGAATCCAAATTCCCTAGTCCTGCTAAGGGGAGATTTTATACAAATGAGTTTAACCATACATATCATAATTTATATCAGGAACTGAGTATAAAATGGACATGGATTTAGCTCGTATTTAAGATAGGCTTATAGTTTTGGTTCCATTATGTTGGTTGGAAAGGATTATACATTTAAAAGTGCACTCTCAGCCACGGATAAATAAACATTGATCAAAGTTGGAATGCGGTCAACCTAATTATTTGTTATTGCACTCTATAATAGAGAAACTCTTGAAGGTTTACACGCATATGGAATGAGCTTTGCACCAAGCAGTGAATAAACAATATTTGTGCATGCTTAAAATGAGGGGTATTTATTCATTAGGAGTCCCATTTAATGCTGCGTTTCTGCTGCAATGCCATCATAGCGGTATAAACCAAATCAAAGGTAAAGAATATAAAAAGCAGTATTCTAAATTGTATAAATTAACAGCGAAGCAATATAAGATGACAGATTAAAAGGACACGTTGAACAGTTTTTCAGTAACTGGTCATTGCCATGTATTATGGGTTACTTTTGGCTGATTTCATTTAGTAGACGTGAGAAGTGCTTCCCTGGAATAAGGTCCATTTAGGGTGGATTTTATTTATTTGTTTTAGAAAACTTATGTGGCTGTCCCTCTTATACACCATAACTCTGGGGATCTCACAACAACAATACAAACAACTAAGAGACAATAAAAAACCAACATCACAAAAAGAAAAACAGTGCCCTCAAGCAACACTCCTCAATAACAATAACTACTGTCACTGGGCTTCAGCTTCACCTGATCCCAATGCTTGGGGGAAAAGTCAGCTTTTTAAGTCTTCTGGAAAGCTAGCAGGGTGGAGGCCTGCCGGATCATGGAGGAGGGTATTGTCAGTCTCACAAGGTAGTCCAGACAGTAAGGATGCCCAGATGAACTAATTCTACTTTATTGTAAGGTTACAATAACAGAACTTTGCAAGACTGAAAGTAAATTTCTCCCCCATTGCCTTTACAGCCCAAGATATTGGAGGGTCCCTTCTGAGATGTTTGCCACAGCCCCATTCCTTCTGCAGGCTAAGCTGCCTCTTATCTGATTGTTCCCCTGGCCATGGCTCTTCCCCCTGTCTCCCAAGGTCATTCCCACCTACCATTACAGGTATTTTATAGGGCAGGACAGCCATTGGTAAAGGGGCCAAATAGTGCCTTTCAGATGTGAGGCTCTAGTATCTTCAGCTCTCAGCAATAGTCCCATCTTGGTTGGGGAAGGCTATCCTGCATTCCTTCAGCCTCTGGCAGTGACCTAGTTCCTATATAATCCTTATCCATCATGTAGTTGTTTGGGTTTTGTGAGAAGCCAGTTAGGGTTTATTCAGTAGAATAAAAATCAGTGGAATGTGTGAACTAGAATATTCAGAAGCATACAGCTCCTGATCCAGGCAGAATTGGATGGCCATTATCACTGCTGGCTACTGCAGGCTCAGGCTCCATTAACTTGTTAAATTTCCTCTTAAGCCATCCCCGTTAGCGGTCATCACCAGATTGGGTTATAGCAAATTCCATAGCTTATCTCTAAGCTGGATTTCATCTCCTGTACACCTGTTTTTCAAGAGGTAAATCCTAACCCAGCATAATGTAAAAGATGCTAGGCAGATGGGACCTGGGGAAAATAATACTCCAGTGACAGGAAAGTCTTGCATTGCTCAGAAATGAAAAAGCTGGATTTTTCAGAGCAGGATCATTGATTGTAATACTTTTTCTCTCCTGATCCCTGAATAACTTTGATTGCTGGAGGTTTGCAGGAATGACCTAGTAGAACCCAGGATCCAGTTTGGATAAAGCTAATGAGTAATCAGGTCTTAAGGCCAAAGAGTTCCCAATTCCTGCATATAGGCTGAGCTGGTAAGGTTCTTGCGCTAATCATGTAATGTATGAAAAAGCCTTAATGATATTTGAATTGCGAAACTTGCTTTTTCAGACCCTGAGCGTGCACTAGAGGGCAGCCTGGCCAAGTTGGATTTCAAGTGTACAGCAAGGACACTGGGACCATTTGAGAGGCTCTAGCAAAACAGGATTCATTTTGTGCAATTACTGTCACCAAAGTGACACCAAATTTTATCTTGGTAGCTATGGGAAAGGCGCATGTTCTCTTCCCAAAGCAGCCCTCTTGACATGAAGCAGTCCTGAGGGAGGGATTTGGGAATCCTCTTGTTAGTTCATGAGGTGGCAATTTACAAATTTGTTATCCTTCATTTTAGCCTCCATCCTGTGTATGCAGGGGGCAGGAGAGCAGATGCTTACTAAGCGAGCATCACAGCTTGCTCTTTTATACAAGGAATGGAATGTTTATTATGAACAAGTAATGGTGCGTCATGGGACAGCATCATGGGGCATGTTCCTTCTAGCTTACCTTCAAAAGACCAAAAACCATATTTGTTTTAAAAATTAATTAGGATATAGCAGGGTCCAATAAGTCAAAAAGTGATTTCCCTAAGCTGCAGCAAGGGAGGAAACAGGACAATGATGTGACAGATATCTCCATTGTTCCACTGTAAAATTGGGAGGAGATGACCCTCACTTTGAAGCCTTGATTGGCCCTAGCATGGGTTGAATTTGGCAGCCTCTTCAGATGGCAGGTGCCTGAGGACAGGGAGGGGTTGTTGTCAGTGTTGAACATTCAATCCAGCCATTTCTGTGTATGAAATGAGGTGTCCACCTCAAACAGCAAAACATCTTAAGATGTCCTGTTTGGAACACACACACTTCCTCTTCTGCTTGCTTGGCCTCAAAATCATCCTTGGCTGGTTGGGAAAAGAGTGATGACTCTCTCATCTGCCTGGCCTATAATCATCAGGTGCTGAAATTTTTTCCTTAAGTTTGGAGAGGTCTTCAAAACATGGGAACAAACAGTAGTCAAAGCCAATGATAAAGAGGAAAGGTCTATATTCCAGCCTTTGAGATTCTGGAGAAGTTCAAAGAATGGCCTGCCTGCCTTGCCTTGCCCTTCTCTATCAAGAGTCCCCTCATGCCTGCCATCTAATTGGTCATTTTGAGAATGGATGCTTAATATGGACATTTTATTTTGTGAATGAGCTATATATATGCTCTCTGGGTTTTGCTTTATTAAAGGTCGATATTGCTCAAGGAGAAATCCTTATCCACAGCTGATGTCCTGCAGATGTTTTGGGCTGTAACTCCCATCATCTCTTGCTGTTAGTTACCTAGCTAGAGATGACAGGAGTTGAAATCCAAAGGATCTGGAGTGTACCAGGTTACCCCTGAGCTAAATGCTGGAGGGGCACATTCAATCTTCTATAGCTCTCTCTAAAATAAGGCATCACGTTGCCTGCTTGTTAACCCTCACTGGTGCCTTTTACTACTGCTTAACCTACTTCCACTCTTTCTTTGATTGAATTGAATTACATCCCAGTTTTTCACCAGGATATGGTGTCCAAGATAGCTAAAAATATATTTTTTTTAAAATGCACAATGAGGAACAGTACAACAGCACTGAATTCATATTAATCAAACAGCTCCCACCCAAAATGTCTTTAGCAGGTACCTACCAACACAATGCTAATATAAGTGGTGTCAAAAGTGATCATTGTTGATCCCTGCAGATCACAGTGTAGCTAAAGGCTTAGTCGCAGCCCTTATTGTTTTTCTGGTCAGTTGGCAGCCACACTCAAAGGGAAGAACTGGCATCTGCTGGGGAGAAGGCCTGATTTCCCCCCTTTGTAAGAAAGGCGTTTCCAAGGAAACTGACATTGAACTTGTAGCACTGAATGGCCTTTCCTTCAGCAGATGCATAAAATCACCTCCAAAAAATGAACAGGCAGACGTGCTATTAAACTTCTAAAGCAGCCTTTGGCCCCAAGTACCATGTTCTCCCACAATTGTGTCACTTCAGCCTGTCAAAGTTGATTTCCATTCTTCACCACCACTGCCAAGGATCTGACATGGAGCTCGCTTACAAAATTCTGGGACCTCATGTCTTTATTCTTTGCTCTTCAGATGTGCTCAGCTGATGGGATCCTCAGCTTCATTAATTTCTTCTGCATCATAATATTTTCCATATTTCAGGCAGCAAGGGGCCAGGCAGAATAACATTCACACTTGGGAAATCATGCTAGCATATTATGTCTCCCATAGAGCTATTTTAAATTTGAGTTTAGGAGTGAATTTACCACTTGTTATTGTGGCTCTGAGTACATCTCATGTACCTGAATGGAGTTTTTGACCAACAAGATGTTTAGCTGACATCCACCTTCAGGGCAAGGCAACACAGGTCTTGATTTTCCCTTGTTGCCATATAATCTTTAATCCATATACATATAATGCCATAATCCAGAAGGTAGTAGCAACCAAACCAAACTTCATAGTGCAGAGTGAAGAGAGGAGTCTGCACTGTTGCAGCTCAATGCTCAGAGATGATGCTCTGTCTGTCTGGGCTAAACTGCTATTTACATTAGCATAGCTTGGAAAGATGCAGCAAATAGTGGCCCTGAAAAAAACAGAATGAAAAAAACCCAAATCCCAGCTGAAATTGATCAGAGTTATTTGTAGCATGCTTGACTTTGGCCTTGCTTAGGTGGTTTTGGGCACTGGAGGGGTTAGTCATGTCAGCCTGATGGTGATTTCAGAAGATGACAGTATGTGCTTGCTCTAGGGAGATGGAAGCTGTTAGCAGCCAACATCACTTCCAGCCTGCTGGTTTGCAGTACATACCACAACTTGCATTGTGGTGACATATTGGAAGGGCTTGACTGCACTTTTAGCCCTGGATCAAAGGTGGCCTTCCCGTAAACTTTTCTTGCTGAGTAGCCAGTGACACATAAGCAGCTGGCCAAATGTGTTTTTCCCTCCAGCAGAGCAGAAGGATCACAGCTTATCTTTGTTTGTTGAATTTCATGCCTATTATTTCTGAAAATCTGATGTGTTAAAAATTAGGATTTTAGGAGCTTTTCTATGCCGACAGGGACATCTCCCCAAGGAAGGGGTCCAAAAAGTCAATAAGGTGGCCACTGAAATCAAGTTGTGACTACCTTCTTGGCCTTTTTCCATGCTCCTGGATCCAGTGTTGCCTTGGCAAGCCTTTGTAGATGACTAAAACATCATTACCTTAAAAAAAAAAAAAAAAAAAGGCAAATGGAGAGAGAAAGCCATAAACATAGCAGGAAAAACCCAAATACACTAAAATAGTTTTAAAGGGGGCTTAATAATAACATATTTTACAGGTTTTCTCACATCCCAGGAAAGTTATAAGAAGAGGAGTGAAGCAGGTTTGGCTGGAATACCAAAAACTAATTATGGCTGCTGTCTATACTGATGGCCATGTTAATCCCCCCT